TTTTAGGTTTTACCAAATGCCCCCAAAACTTCAACGTTTTCCATAGACGGCATCATCGAAAAAGTCAGTTTTTCACCCAAAAATCCAACTTCACCAAATTTCCTCAAAAGTTCACAAGAGGTGCCTAGAGGCCAGAATTCAATTCCCTGAAGAGTTCAAACTCATTACATTCAGTATCCAGTGAGAAACGAACAATTTTAGGTTTTTTACAAAATGCCCCAAAACTTCAACGTTTTCCATAGCCGGCATCATCGAAAAAAGTCAGTTTTTCACCAAAATCCAACTTCACCAAATTTCCTCAAAAGTTCACACGAGGTGCCTAGAGGCCAGAATTCAATTCCCTGAAGAGTTCAACTCATTACATTCAGTATCCAGTGAGAAAAGAATTTTTAGGTTTTTATGCCCCAAAACTTCAACGTTTCCATAGCCGGCATCATCGAAAAAGTCAGTTTTCACCCAAAAATCCAACTTCACCAAATTTCCTCAAAAGTTCACAAGAGGTGCCTAGAGGCCAGAATTCAATTCCCTGAAGAGTTCAACTCATTACATTCAGTATCCAGTGAGAAACGAACAATTTTAGGTTTTTATGCCCCCAAAACTTCAACGTTTTCCATAGCCGGCATCATCGAAAAAGTCAGTTTTTCACCCAAAAATCCAACTTCACCAAATTTCCTCAAAAGTTCACAGAGGTGCCTACAGGCCAGAATTCAATTCCATGAAGAGTTCAACTCATTACATTCAGTATCCAGTGAGAAAAGAACAATTTTAGTTTTTTTACAAAATGCCCCCAAAACTTCAACGTTTTCCATAGCCGGCATCATCAAAATAGTCAGTTTTGACCCAAAATCCAACTTCACCAAATTTCCTCAAAAGTTCACACGAGGTGCCTAGAGGCCACAATAAAATTCCCTGAATAGTTCAACTCATTACATTCAGTATCCAGTGAGAAACGAACAATTTTAGGTTTTTACCAAATGCCCCAAAACTTCAACGTTTTCCATAGCCGGCATCATCGAAAAAGTCAGTTTTTCACCCAAAAATCCAACTTCACCAAATTTCCTCAAAAGTTCACACGAGGTGCCTAGAGGCCACAATTGAATTCCCTGAAGAGTTCCTCATTACATTCAGTATCCAGAGAGAAAAGAACAATTTTAGGTTTTTACCAAATGCCCCCAAAACTTCAACGTTTTCCATAGCCGGCATCATCGAAAAAGTCAGTTTTTCACCCAAAATCCAACTTCACCAAATTTCCTCAAAAGTTCACATGAGGTGCCTAGAGGCCACAATTGAATTCCCCGAAGAGTTCAACTCATTACATTCAGTAGGCCTATCCAGTTAGAAAAGAACAATTTTAGGTTTTTTACAAAATGCCCCAAAACTTCAACGTTTTCCATAGCCGGCATCATCGAAAAAGTCAGTTTTTCACCCAAACTCCAACTGCACCAAATTTCCTCAAAAGTTCACACGAAGTGTCTAGAGGCCAGAATTGAATTCCCTGAAGAGTTCAACTCATTACATTCAGTATCCAGAAAACTTTTTGATTTTTTACAAAATGCCCCAAAACTTCAACGTTTTCCATAGAGTTTTCCAACGTTTTCCATAGAGAATGGATTTTCTTTGTTTGACCATGGAGGAATGTTTTTAATTATAAGTTTTGGAGTCATCAGTGTTGTCTTTATCGAGATTTTGATTATTCCAATTTATCAAATCGTCAGCGTGTTCACGAAGGGGCGAATTTTCCGCAATGGCTGTTAGGGTTAGGGTTTAATGGTTAGGGTTAGGTTTGGGCAAACAGGTATGGTAAACATAATTCTCCCGTTGAACTTGCAGTGGTTGTCAGAAAAGTTTTAAGTTGGTCAAGTTTGGAATAAAGATTTCGCCTACTGCCGACTAATTTTTGAACAGATAAGCTGAGATGAAACTTCAAAGATGTAGGCCTACCAATTACAGAATAATGGAACAATTAATTACGGAGTACCGGTAACTTAACGGAAAACTGAAAACGGAATCCACACACTTGTTGTTTTGGCAAATTGCCGATACCCATTCCTCATACCGTACCGCCCTTTGCGCGAATTTGTCTCTTCGTGAAAAATCAAAAGACATTCAGGTGAAGTTTTCCCAAAATTGATTGTTATGATTTTGTTGATTTTATCTGATTTTGACCCAGACATCTTCGCAAAAAAATGTTCGTTGCGTGCATCTACCGATTTCAGCCAGAACAAGAATTTTGAAAAAAATGATCCCCTGGATCATCCAATACATGTACACACGTACACGCATTTGTGTACATGTATGCATAGTGCCTGGCCAGGGCGTGGGAACGTATCAGATTACATGGGCCGCGCGCAATATCGATCGGTTTAAAAATAGATGGTCAGATCGGGAATTGACCTGGATTGACCCGCAAATGTTCGGGTTGTCTGTGAGGTAAGCAGGTCACCGACATATTTTTCTAAAAATGACTGCAAGTGCGTAGGCGTGCAAATTCCCGCACGATGCATACATGTAGGCCAAGTTCATTTGTGCATTTTCAGGGCGCATTGTGAGGGTTTGGTAGCTGGAGTTACCCATAGCCCTACATGTTATCATTGGGATGTCATTTAACACCCCAATGATAACATTTAGGGCTGGTTAACTCCAGCTAAGGGTTTGGGGGCTTGGTTTCACATTCCTCGTTCATATCAGAACTCTCTATATAATACCTAATGGTTACTGAAAACAAATTATAAAGGGCCAGTTTTGTTTTCATCTCGAGGGGGCACATTTATGGTAATCCTTACTTTTAGGACCCCGTTCCTATATAGGAAGGGAAAGACTCACCAAAACAGTTAACTAAATGACACTCAAAATTGACATTCTGATACTTCTTGGCACATCTGAACAATTGGCAATGACACCTACTTGAATATCAGCAGGTTTAATTTTGTGGAAAGAGGGCAGGGCTTTGATTTTTGAGGGAAATTCAGGGGTAAAAGACGACGATGACAACCAAAAAACAGACTCAAAAACCAAGATGGCAAACGTGAAAGCTCGATGCAATGAAAGTTCGTTGCTGATTGGCTGACAAAAAAAAAACATCTTATTTATTTTTTTTAGCAGCCAATCAGCATCGGGCTTTCATTTGTAGGGCTTTCACTGTGTTGTGAGAACTACAACATGCACGTCTGACTGCGAAAAGAGGTAGGAAAGTCACATTTTCTTTGAAAGTGCTTTCAAAATTACAACTAACATGAATTCTATTTAAAAAAAAAGACTGCATGCTTTAGCCTGCAAAAGTCACTTTGGTACTGGACAGACATCTGCAAAAGTCAGTTTTGAACAGAACTTGTAAAAAATAGAGGTGTCCTAAAAGTAAGGATTACCACATTGATGTTCGAGAGGGCACAGTTTATGTCCGCAAATGGGTCACTTGGGTAAATCGCCCCCCCCCCCCCCCCCCCCCCCCCCCCCCCCCCCCCACGCCCTGCAAGTAAAAAGTATTTATTCTCTGGTATTACTATTAGTATTACTTAGCTCTGCCGAGTGGAGCGTTGAACTACCGGCACGGTACCCTCCGTGTATGTAGGGTACCGTAGTTCAACGCTGTATTAAATAATACGAAACATAATGAAAAGGTTGTATACACAAGCACTGTTTCCTTTAACAATGAGGATTATATTATTAATTGCCAAAGTAACACGATCGTGAACGTGAACATAACCCTTACCTGAGTAGAATTAGAAGTAGGATAGGCCTGTAAATCTTTTTTTTCCAGCTGGTCGCTTGACGCCTTTGCATGTGCTTCGTACAACCTTGCCTGCGCATGAAGTACAATATTTGCTCGCCAACAAAATAGACAGGTGCTTTGTTTTCGCAGGACAAAAAAAACAATTTTACGTCTGGGTAAAAGACTTCGCGAAGAGGTTTCAAAAACTACGGTCGCGTTCCAGCTTTCAAACTTCTTTTCAGTCCCCAGCCGACTTCCAAGCCTTAAATGATGAGATTGAGAGTATTTTTATTTGGATGTGGACATAAGGATTGAAACACAATTTTCATTCCAGTATTATTTGATGATACAAAAACCCTTAGACGAACCCATTCACAAACGAAGCCGAGGTTTTGCAAAATGATCAGTTATTGAGCGCACTCAAAATAGGGGGCGGAGATTTGTGGGGGGGGGGCTGGACTAAACTACTACTTAAATACTCAAGTTTTCACTGAAACAAAGGCAGTCAAGACACAACTTACACTGACATATTCTGCTCGCTTATACATATCTGGTGGCTTTAATAATGTAGATCCAATGATCAAAACATTATTGCACAATACGTGTATTAAAGTCATGTTTTCATATCAAATATCAGAATGTTTCAACAGGTTTTTTCCCGACCAAACAAATAATAATACATGTTTGAGTAATGCTGTGTTCTATACAATGGGTAATCTCATGTTATCTGCTGATCTCTGATCAAAAATTAGGAATGTATATAAACCGCATATTATGTAAATCAATTGGTATTAACTAATTTCATATTAATTGAAATTATTTTAAGGCAATGATAATTAAATATATGTTTCAGTTTAATATGTTAATATGCAAAGCATTTACAGAATAAGACATTGGAATGAAAAACTATATTGGGTGATAAATTGAAAAATATAATGCGATGGAAATTAGCCACTATATATTTGTTAACTGAGGTTTTCAAATTAGCCAAGAGCAGTAGTGGTAATTCCAACATGTTAATTATCATGTACCAACAACTCCTTAAGCCCATGAAATAATTATCAGCATCTCTGCATTTAAAACCTCCGAAATTTGTCCAAAAAACATAATCCTTTTTTAACAAAAGATAATTAATTGCCTCTATATAAAAACTCTTGACATTTTGTTGTTTGTTTTAGACACTGCATTGTGTGTGTGTGTGTAGACGCAATCTGTTTTGCAGTTTTGATCTGGATTCTTTCCCTGATCCCAAGGAAAGTTAACTTGATTTCCAATTGAGTCGCATATTTCTTTGTGCACTCTCGTTTCTGAACTACAGCCTGTTCATAAGTCAAAGTTTGAACAATTGCGGGCTTTTAAGCAGACCCAGGTGAAACAGTCATGACAGTAGGAGAAAAGTAGGATCAAAATTTTGAGAGAAAAAAAACAGGAAAAGCGTAGGACTTTTGAGGACAAATCAGGAAAAAAGTAGGACTTTTGAGGGCTTTCGGGAGTACTTTTCAATGATAATCACCCATGTTCACAGCATCATAAGCCTCATTTGGCATGTTCTGTACTCTTTACTTGTAACACTTGTGCTCCATCCTCAACAAGCTTGTGGAAGTACAGTTGCAGTACTCCTGCGCCCAAGCCCTTCACTGTGTGATTTACATATGACAGTGTGTAACACTGTTATGAAAACTATTCAATGATATTTCATTTTTCAGATTCGTGGGACAAAAAAGTAGGAAAAAGTAGGAATTTCAAGAAAAAAAGGAGGAGCAAGGTAAAACAAAACAAAGAAATGGGAAAAAGTAGGGAAAGTAGGAATTTCAAGGGGACAAAAAGTAGGTAGCAAGGTAAAAAAAAACCTAGGAAAAGTAGGAATACTTGAAAGCCTGCAGCTGAACCATTATGCCCAGCCGCTCTGGGCACTGACTATAGAATACCGAGGTGTGACATCATTTAGAATCAAAAAGTGTAGTGCAAACGAATGAAGTGCACGCGCGTGTTGGTTCACGGGCTGAATCACAGGCTTATGTCTTTCACACACACATTTTGTGCGCGTGACGTATTCACCTCGTTACTCCATAAAGAGGTGTGCACACTGCATGTTCCAGTCTTGTAGTCGTACACATTATGCACATGCGCTTGCATATCAGACATTTTGGGCAAGCATGTCGGAGATAAATCACATCCACGTTTCAACCAACAGCAACTTGACATATAATAGACTTTATTCACGAGTCACCCCCATCTTATGAAAGCGAGGTAAACTTTTCATTTTGGGAACTTGCGGGTAGAAATAAAATCACTGAAATAAAAGTTCATAACAATACACCAGTCTGGAAGAATTTAACATGTGTGATTAAACCCTACTGTTTTAAGCCACATTTAGAAAACAAAATTAAAAGTGAGGCGTGGAATGCACCATCCCATTCGACTTTACAATTTATAAACAGATTCAGGGAACAGGATCAAAAATGGCTTCTTCGTGAATAAGGTCTATAGGGCTGGTATATCTAGCTTGTGCGTCAGAAATTATTCTGAACAATGATATTTTGTCTGTGAATCATCAAAGCAATTACAAGTTAAATACAGTATATGGTAAGCTGATATCAAAGAGCTATATTAAATTACTAGAGCGCTAACTTCGTGTACAAAGTAATGCCTGCTGTGCGCATCCATGTTTGTGCACAAACCTATGGAGACCTAGAAATGGTGTACGGCTACGTACGGCTATTTGCATATCTGCGTTTGCATTCCATACCGGTGCGCTATCGAAGCCAATATGCCCAAATCAAAACGCACGATCAGCAAATGAGCGTGTACGTCATTTTTCTCTACGCAAACAGCGCAACGCGTGCGTGTATTCGCTGCAGGTGCTTTTTTCCGTCACGTTTTTTTTAACCGTCAATGATGCGCTTAAAGTTGTTTGCATATGTTCTACTTGCGCGTTGCATGTAGAGTACACTTTCAAAATTCAATCCATCTAATTTCATTATGTTCTACAAACACGCACATGAATTCAAAATGTCTGCACCCAAGACGGCTTCAAAGTGTTTCCGCACGCAGAATGACCAGTTAGCGCTCTAGTAATTTAATATAGCTCTATGGTTGATACATATATACATGTATATATAAATGGTAAAAAAAAAACAATTTTTTTTTTGTGATACATTATACACACAGTCCATATGTTATTGCATAATAACTATTCGATATTTGAAAATCAGAACTCTGAATCAGATATATCTAGCATTCATGATATACTTTTTTTGTGGAAAAATTAAAATACATTGTTGCGCATCATTTTGGTTGTATAAATATAAGGCATTCAAATCAAATTGAAAGTAATAAGTATCGCTCTTCGGGAAAAAAAATCAAAGAGCTTTTGTATGAATTGTACATGTTGAAATGCAAAACAGCCCGACATGCTCCACTCAAAAGTGAAAAAAAATAATGGATATTCAGTTTACAGGAACAAATGAAGGGGGGGGGGTTTAAAAGGGAAAAAACAGCTCTGTCCAAAAAAAAAATTCATAGAAATTCATTAAAAATACGGCGAAACACCCCCCCCCCCCCCCCAAAAAAAAAGTATACTGGCAATAATGTCTGCATGTGCAAAACATACAGACCGAGCCAGCTTTGTTACGGTGTATTTGCACACTATTCTGTAATATAGTATCAATAATCGTTAGGTTTTAACGTTTTAATAGCGCCCTCAATGGAAGCATGGAATGAGACCCCCCCCCCCCCTTTTCCACCGATTCCTAGATGCTGTTTTTGGTATCTGAGCAGCCTATCGACAATACACTGGCCAGTCATCCCACTGAGGCAAAGAAACCACTAACGTTCAGCCTTCCAGTTTGAAACAAGACACACTGAACACCACCAAAAAACCACCATACTGAATGTAATATGCAACAAGTATAGAGTGGCATGCATTATTAAAGAGTAATTTGGAATGCAAAACTGAAAGACTGCTGTGGCCAAATATTATGATAATCACATATGGGTTGTGCAGGATTCAAGCACTTTTCCTGGACTTTTTTTGCCAGGAATATCAGTTTTCCGCGACTCCTTGCAAAATAAGACTTTCCATGATTTTCCATGACTTTCCAATGACAGCTTTCAACTCCAGGATTTTCCAGGATTTTTCCAGGACTGTGGGAACCCCTGGTTTTACAGAGTCGCTCGGTGACTAATAGAAAGGTCGAAAGGTTGAAATGCCTCCCTCAAAACCCCACAGAATTCTGAAAGCCCCTCCCCTGCCATTTATTGAAAAATTCTCAAAGACTCAAAGTCTTCCATGCGACAGGGATTCGAACCTCCCGTTTTCAAGACCACAGACCTTGATTCTTCAAGACCGACCAGCAAGGACTGAACAAAAAATTAAACCTTTTAATACCTGTTTCTTAATTAGAATCATTTACATTCAATTCAACCACCAACCACTGAATACCATAGACTTCAATGCTATCACTGTGCACTCGTGGTGGCCCCTTCCATGGCGGCTTGCCTTCAGATAATCCGTCACGCATTGAAGGGGGTCCCTGTTCATGTACCGGGGTAGCATGCTCGGATTGGTCTATACAATAACCCTCTAAAGAGTGAGGTATGCAGGGTGGCACACCCCCCCCCCCAAAAAAAAACGTAACGGTGTACTTCCGCTACCCTGAGACTAAAACAAGCTATACCAATGCATGGGGAATTCTGTTAAAACCAAAATGATACCAAGATCGCCCGATTCGGTCAAGTAGTTTTTGTTTTAAGGCCTATTTTGTGAAACAAGGTCTGGAGTCATTTTGTCCTGATGAATTACAAACTAAACATACCTAATAGCGCTCGCTCAATGACGGCCATCTCTGTAGGAGAAGTGCAACTGTGCATTTTACGCAATCAAGCACGCATTGCGCAGTGTTAAAAATGTTCCAAACACTCGGGCTTGTTGCTCCATATATTTTCGAAATACGACGCAGCCGATACGAGTTATGTAAGTTGACCCTCAAAATGCCGATGCACATGGCTGGTCTGTAGGAAATGACGTCATTTGAACGAGACCTATTGGATAGAGCGGTAAATTGTTAATAACACCCATATGAAAGATGTGTGCTTCACAACATAGGCTCTGCAGCAAAACCTACTGGACCATATTGGGAGATCTTGGTATCATATTTCTTCTAAAAGGATTCTCCATCCATTGGTACAGGTTGTTTGAGTCGCAAACTAGTGGAAGTATGCCGATCCAGTTTTTGGGGCCACCCTGTATACTGGTTTGAATATCATTTCATGAAGGGATGTCACAGCAACCCTGCATCCCTGATGCAATGATGCTCCAAACCTCCCCCTCCGTCAAATTCCTTAACCCCGCCCACCATCCTCCACCCCAGTAAACCTCTTAAATACAACATAAGTCGGTAACATGAAACTTTTGTTGTTATAAAAACACTAAATCTACTCAAAAATGCATGACCTGCTGCAAAATTTTATCACCTGTTTTTTTTTTCAGGTTTGGATTTTTTTTTTACGAAAAGCACCAATTCATACGGTCCACAAAAGTAGGACAAAAGTTCTTCTTAAGGCATTTACGTTTGTATCTGTTTAATTTTTCTTCAGGAAAATGGTAACAGCCACATCCTGCTAGAGTTTAACACACACGCGCAGTATACACACACACGTTTGTTTATGGTGTAAATTGAGGATTTTCTTTTGTTTCTCTTCCCTTTTCCTTTGTTTGTACAACTCTCATTGGTTTTGTACACGTTTTCTAATCGAGGTCGTCCTCGATTTGGTTCCTGTCCTCGATTCACTAATGATGTTGCACGTGTGTGTTCTCAATTTACACCATAAACAGAACACAGTATTGATAGAGGGAATCCTGTGGTTTGAGGAATGTTGTTCTCTGACATTTCAGCTGTTTTGTTGATACACAAGCTTGAGTGAAAATTGTAAGCTTGCCAGAAAGGTTATCTGTTGATGTGGTCTTGTGGCAGCCAATGTGCCTCACTGTCTATTACTTCACTAGTCTTGCTTCAAGTCTGGATTTGTATTGTGTTACCCTAACTCTCTAACTCCCTGCTGCAGAAGAGGGTGCTATCAAACAAGACAAATCAAATCCAGCCTTGAGAACTTCAGCAGAAATTCTGAGCACACCTCAAGAGTGCATGTTCAAGCTTTGAAATTCTGGGGTCCAAGTGCCGAAGTACTCAAGACTGAATTTGATTCTTCCTGTTGGTAGCCCCTCCACGGCAGCTGTGGCTAGGGTACACTTGTCAGGGACCGGCCTGCTTTAAGCTTTAGGGAAACAAGAATCAACTCCAGTCTCGAGCCAAGACTACTACTTCAAATGCACAATCAAAGTACTCTCACTTTGACGCCGGAATACAAACAAAATAGCTTGCGCCATTTTTACCAATGAGGCTGCCATAGAGCACAAAGCAACTTTAAGGGTCGGTTGCCAAACATGGCTGTAATTAGTTTTTTTATATTTAAGATGAAAATGATCCAGGAATGTCTTTTAAGTCTGGCAGAAATACTTGTCGTGTGTGATTTTTACAACGACAGATGCAGCTCAGTTTGCAACAAGTCACTCATTTAGAAGGAAGCCCGCCATTCCTCCTGCAATAAATCTCCTTTTACTCCATCCACTTGACACAATTTGTAGCCAATCCCTAATGAGCTGATCCATTACTAAACTCCATCTGCTTGAGGGTGCTGAGGTCCTTGGCAATAAGGGCCGATATATCCCGGGCTGTCTTGATTTTGGCCTCGGCGTACAAGATGAGTGCCTTCTGGAACTCAACTACCCGCTGTCGGTGGAACTTGGTAATCTGTAACAGAAACACAGACCGACAAGTTCAAGATAACTATGCACCATACAGGTCCATTTCAATTTCACGCAAGTCCATCATAGACTAGGCGATATTTCATAAATTGTTACAAGTTCAACCAGTTGCCCAGTTAGAAACGAGTTAAACCAGTTGCCCAGTTCATACCAGTTAAACCAGTTCATACCAGTTGAACCAGTTAATACCAGTTAAAACCAGTCACCAATTCCCAGTTCAACTGGGACCAGTTGAAACCAGTTGAAACCAGTTCAACTGGTTTCAACTGGAAGTTTCACCTGGGTGAAGAGGCATTTTCGAGTAGAAGTTGGTAATGGTAGCTATTGTACCTAATTCCAGGGTGCTGAATCCGAAAATGATGGTTACCAAGCTGGATTTTTAGTTGAAATATGCCTAATTTGCATTATTCTTTAATACCTGTCGTGTCTTATTTATTTTTTCCCATATTTGAGTAATTGTTTATTATTTTATTTTTTGAAAAGTTTATTTTGGTGATTCTACTTACACTCATGACTTCAATAACATTTTCTAAAAATAAGTGACTGAATGATTATGAGAATATATATAGTAACAATCCAAAATGGCTACTTTATTACACCCTAAAGTTGCATGCATTTACCTTGTCTCCAGATATCATCAAGTAGTCTTGCCAAACCTTAGTATCGATAAACTTCAAATTCACCATGTTCACCATGTTGAATACTGGCAAATTAGGCATATTTCCACTACAAATCAAGCTTGGTAATCATCATTTTCAGATTCAGCACCCCCGAATTAGGTAAATAGCTATGTTACCAACTTCTACTAAAAAAAATGCCTCTTCTTGCCCTAAATGAGCCCTCGTTTTGAAATAATGCTGAGGCTATCACATGTCAGTTACAAGTCCTCCAAGTCCAGTCACAAGTTATTCAAGTGAACTTTGACAAGGCTTTGCTTTGCTATTGTATCTTCCCTGATATTAAAGGGAAAATACAACATTTGTAAACATCAACAAATAAAACTACCAAATCATTTTGAAATACCTTGCTGGACTGTTAGTGAATGACAGTCTAAAGCATCCTGTAATATCATGGCACCTGGTATACTGTCATTTTCAAGAAAAGTGGTATTTTTGTATCAATTTCCAACGCTGGTCGGCCGACCAGCGTTGGAAAAAACTGGCTTTTTTTCAAATACTGGCCCCAATTGACCATCGCACTTGTTTGCGATCGATTACACACCTATGAACACACACCTTGCTGGACTGTTAGTGAATGACAGTCTAAAGCATCCTGTAATATCATGGCACCTGGTATAAGCCGCGTCCTTCGCAATTCAGCATACCAGCTGCGAGTAAGGATGATTAGCCTCCCAAATTATTATTATTATTATTATTATTATTATTTTCAAGAAAAGTGGTATTTTTGTATCAATTTCCAACGCTGGTCAGCCGACCAGCGTTGGAAAAAACTGGCTTTTTTTCAAATACTGGCCCCAATTGACCATCGCACTTGTTTGCGATCGATTACACACCTATGAACGGGTACAAGCCAGCTAGACTGGTTCCCTGACCTTACAATTCCCCAATGTATGTAAACTGCTCTGTTTCTTCTTATATGGAGTCAGGGAACCAGACTACAGGAAAATGATGTTTTTCTTGGTTTTTATAGCATTTTCGAACCCGAAACCTCAAAAAAGTCAGCGTAACTATATTTGCTACATGTATATATTTCCAACCCCCCAATTCCATCCATTTCTGAAAATTACAGCAAAAGCAAATGATGTATATTCCCTTTAATGACCAGACATCTGAAATGACGTGACATTTATTTGTAACTGAGCTTGTGAAGTGACTTGTAATGTATTTATGATCAGGCTTGTGATTTCTTTGTGACCAGACTTGTCACCTGATCCGACTACCCACCCTTATTAATAAATGAGATTTTTATGTCAAAATGCCACGTCACATGCCTGCCTGTAATTTTATATGGTGGGCATAAAGGACAAAAAAATGGTGGACATTCGAAGGGGCTTGCATGGACGTGGTTATCCGCTCCGTTCACAAGTACCCCCTCACCGGCAAAGAAAGTACAGTTGGGGGTGACCGAACGATGCCATCTTGCCTGCCTGCACTATTTTTCCTTGAAGCGCGACCACTGTGTGTACATGTGTACATAGTACAAATTCCCTGGTGTACGTGCGTCACACACAAGGAACGGTGCGCTTGTCAACCAGCGAAATATATGTGTCCCGCCCATGGGAGGTCCTTGCTGGGTAAAAGGGCGCCCTCTTTTGTTAGCGCATGGAGCTCATAGTTGGAAGAATTCACTTTTAGGTGGTTCGAATCCCATCCAAAGACTTCTTTTTTGGGCGTATTGTTAGTTTTTTTATGCAGTTGCAAAAGGGAAATTTTGTATGATTTTAACAACCTGCCAGATATTGTACCGTTGAATTTGTTTTATTCAGGACAAATAGGCCCACTTTTATGCGTGCTGTTTACATCTGTATGGGCCTCACTTATAAGCGTGTCAATTATAACACATGTTACCGAAATATATTACCGTCTTGCATACTAACGACGGTGGGTATTTGATTTGGCTGGATTTGTGATAAACTTATGATGGACTAAACCACAACACAAAAGCTACCTGCACCCATGATATCTCAGGTACCAAAATTGAATACATGTAAATGCAGAAAATATTTGCTTTTCGTAAAAACAGGCAACCGGCCAATGGGTCAGGTGATGAAAACTTGCAATAAAACACGCTTATGATGAGAAAGTAAAGGTATCCAAGGGTAGGTTAGAACACTGACGTGTCTAATACTTATTATGAAGTAGGAAAATTGAGGCATTGTGGTCCAATTGGGTCAAATGTATGGTTGATTAGCGGTGCTACTAGAGAGGCTGTGAGCAACAAAGAAAAATTAATTAATATCTGTTCCGCCTTTAAACTCATCCTCATCCTCAAGGTCATCCAAAGCTAGTCACCCAACCACTAATTGGCAGAGCATCATGAATAAAGAAAAATTAATATCTGTTCCACCAATGAAAAACGTCCACAATACAAAGCAAGTCACCCAACTATTGATTGGCAGAAAATCATGAATAGCCGATCCAATTAAGTAGGGGAAATGCCTGGAAAAATGAAAGCAGAGTCACCATAGGAACCAATTTTTTTTTTTTTTTTTTTCCTTTGAGATGAAAGGGTAAAGCAACAACTGGGTATTCTCTGGGGAAGAAGATCTGTCCTTCAAGGACAATAGAAACCAAAGCAACAATATGCACTGTGAAAACCTCTGTTACTGCGATGCGAATACGTTGGGGAAAAAGTGACGACAGTTGAGATCAGCAGCCACTTCATCACAGTGAGTGAAGCCGGTAACAATGCTGCATGGTGACATCCAGTGATATATGGTGACAGACAGTGACACTGCTACATGGTGACAGACAGTGACACTGCCACATGGTGACAGCCAGTGAAACTGCTACATGCATGGTGACGGCTACAACTAGTGCTACATGCATGGTGACAGCTACCTGATATAGTGATACTACTCTATTGTGACTGCTATAGTGATGCTTCTACATGCATGGTGACAGCTAGTGATACTACAACATGCATGGTGACAGCTAATGACACTGCTACATGGTGACAGCTATGGTAGTAACACTGCTACATGGTGACAAGTGACACTGCTAGATGGTGACAGCCAGTGACATCACGGTAGTAACAATGCTACATGGTAACAAGTGGCACTGCTAGATGGTGACAGCCAGTGATATCACGGTAGTAACAATGCTACATGGTGACAAGTGACACTGCTAGATGGTGACAGCCAGTGATATCACGATAGTAACAATGCTACATGGTGACAAGTGACAGTGCTAGATGGTGACAGCTAGTGATATCACAGTAGTTACAATGCTACATGGTGACAAGTGACACTGCTAGATGGTGACAGCCAGTGATAGCACGATAGTAACAATGCTACATGGTGACAAGTGACAGTGCTAGATGGTGACAGCTAGTGATATCACGGTAGTTACAATGCTACATGGTGACAAGTGACACTGCTAGATGGTGACAGCCAGTGATAGCACGATAGTAACAATGCTACATGGTGACAAGTGACAGTGCTAGATGGTGACAGCTAGTGATATCACGGTAGTTACAATGCTACATGGTGACAAGTGACACTGCTAGATGGTGACAGCAAGTGATACTGCTACATGGTGACAGCTAGTGACACTTCTATATGGTGACAGCCAGTGAAAAATCTACCACATGGTCACAGCCAGTGACAATGCTAACATGGTGACAGTCAGTGACACTGCTACATGGTGACAGCCAGTAATAATGCTACATATGGTGACAGCCAGTGACAATGTGGTGACAGCTAGTGACACTGCTACATGTTGACAGCCACTGGCAATGCTTCACGGTGACAGCCAGTGGTAGACCAAGGCAAGAGATAACAACTTGAAGTCGGCGAAAAAGGATGGGCAGTGAAAAGGGTACCACACAACCTGCTATCCAATAGGTGTATAACATGCGGTGATGTAGAGAGACGGCACTGACACGGTGCGCATCTTTGGCAATTTTAAGAACTTAATATTACGTGTCGACCTTTAAACCATCAAACATGAATATCACAGGTTTTAACACAACTGTAATAGTCACTGAAGTCCCATACCCACACGAACTTGAACCATTTCAGGTTTTCACTTTCGTGTTAACAGCTCTGACGGGCGTTTTGATTCTGACTCTCAACCCGATATGCCTCGTGGTCCTTCATCGGGCCAGCGGCATCCAAGAAACGACCAAGGTGTTCATGGCTTCGCTCACCGTGTCCGATATCTGCATTGGGCTGTTCTGGATGCTCCCAGCACTAACACAAGATTTCGCCGGGGAATGGGTGCTGGGAGAAGTTGTCTGCACTGCCTGGGGCATTTCATCTATATCCTTCTTAACACTGACTATCTTGTCTCTTGTGTTCCTAAC